TAACATTTTTTAAATAATACTATTTTTTGTATCTTTATTAGAAAATAACATTTTTATTGTAGCTAATTTTGCATTACTTAACCAGAAAACTAAGAATTACTTGTGGCGTTAATTTTATACTTATAATAAACTCATTTTAGCATGGTAACTAAAAAACAGATGGCAAGGCGTATATTTTTTATTGTTAACGTGAGTTAGCATGCTGACACTGGCTTTTTAAAGTACAACAAGTTTGTGCAGACAGCTTCATTACCATTACCACTGCTGGTTATGTTGACTCTTTTATCTTTTAAATTCTACCTGAGGGAAGGGTGCCCTAATCCTTTTTGGTGATTATAAAACAAGGTAAAGAGTCAGGATTTGAAAACTGAGATTTTTTTTTTCAGCAGCAGATTTCGAAAGAGAAGTATTACTGTGGCTGTGCTTGCAAAAACATCTGACAAACTTTTTTTATATTCAATATAAATATGTTTACTAGCTCTAAAACTATTATGATGTTTAGTTTGGTGTATGCTATTTGAGAGCATTGCTCTTCCCTAAGAGGAATAAACACGTTATTAGTTGAGTTTGTTTCAATTTTGATAGCTTGTTCTAAATGTCATATGTGGCCAATGTGAAAAAATATGTTTACGTATAAGAAATCTGTGACAACTGATGACACATTGACTTTTTGAGGATGTACGCTGCCTCAGAACAGAATATTTTGACCTCTGAGACTTCAAATTAATGACCTAAATGACCTTAATGAAATAAATCCAAAATCATCTTATCAATAATTCTAATGGAAACCAAACAATGAGCTAGGATGTGAAAAAAAAAAGACGTAATATAATAAGTTGTGAAAGAGTCATACATGAGTGAAAGTGGAATGTAAAAAATGAATATGACTAAAAAACACGACACAAAGTGTCCCGCTGTGTGCGGCCTCACCCTTTTAAGTGCTAGACTGGTTGTCTGATGCTTCATCTGCACTAGCGGCCTCAGCACCGAGCGGATCTACTGACTCAGACTTTTTAGGCTTTGTTTCTTTGTTTTCAGGAGAAACTCTTCATGTGTGAGCATTAATTATAAGCAGAGAAGTAAAGGAGGGAAGGGAGACAGACAGAAAAGACGCCTGAGTGCAGTCATGACAATGCTGATTTGCAGAAATATTGAGAGGAAGGAGTGAAAAATATTATGTTACTTTATTTGATCGATACATTCCAGTGTTCTGCAGGCTCTGTCAGGTTTGTGGTGTTTTAAAAAGTGTAGCACTCACCTGTTGTGTGTGGGACTGCGGTTGTACGGAGACGCTTGAGCTCCAACATGAAGGTACTGCCGCGAATCAGGTGAATCAAACTCTGTCAGGCCGACAGCCAGATGGTTCCGCCAGTTTCCTGTGCTGTCTGCTGAGGACACTGAAACGAAATAAAACCTAGTAAAGCAAACCATTCAGGTAATGTTAAAATGCTACACAGCAGGAATTATTATTTTTTTGGAAACACAGAAAACTTCTATGGAGCTCCAAATGTCAAATAAAATGTTATGTCATTGACAATTTTCATTATTTAGTTCACTTTCTGAGTGTAAATTCCTATATAAAAATTTCCACTAACATTTTATTGTTATTTAGCTCACTGGTCTTACATTTTACAAATTTTTGTTAGATGTAAAATTTAAATTTTGTGTCTAAATGTTAAATCCTAAATCTAAACATGTAAATCCAAATGTAAAAATTAAAAGTAAACATTGTGGCTAAATAATAAAGCTTATACTGTATTTAAGTATTTCCGAATAGAACGCAGTTTTTGTCGTTGATGTACAGCAGCTGTTGTTTTGACATCATCATCCTGCGACAAATGCTGCTTACACTGCTAACGCTGCTAATGCTAATGCTGCAAACGTTGCTAAGGCTGATTATGCTGCATAACAACAAACTTGCAATTGCGACCTATGTTAATGCTTCTAACGCTGCTGGGGCTGGTAACACTGCTAACATTGCTAATGCTGATTATGCTGCTTGCACTGCTAACACTGCTTAAGGTTACACTTCCCTACAAGACAACAAACTTGCAGTTGCAGCCAGTATCAGAGCTGCACTTCAAACTGCAGGACCGCATGGTACCATCCATATTGTTTTCAATCAATGAACACATTTTCAAAGTTAAATTCTTCTTTCTTCATTCTTTTTTTCATGTACAGTGCCCTGAGACATTGTATGTTGTAACTTGGCGCTATATAAATAAACTGAACTGAAGTGAATTGAAATTTTAATGGGGCAACATCATGTAAAATCAACATTTTTGAGTTTTATATCATGTTGTAATGTTGTACTCTCATAAAAAACATGCCCAAAGCCTTGCGTTGACTCATTCATGCATGTTTGAGAAATTCTGCAGCGGGTGAAACTGAAAGTGAAACTTAAACAGTCTCCCAACACTACTTCTTACTCAGTGAAGCTTTTTTTTTTTTCAGATTAAAAATACCTTTCAGATGCCAAGTAAACTGCATCATAGCAGCCTCCCCACCCACCCCGGCACCGAAATGGGCGAGACAGAAGCAGAAGGTGGTTCTTAAAGAGACAGAGGCCAATTTCAAGGCGGTGAGAAGATAAGTTTATTTTCTATTTAAACATCAAAACAGCATTTTAATAACAGCTAAAGGTGACATAGATACTTTACTATGGTATAGTATTTAAATGTATGCCTGAAAAACAAATAATATTGCCCCTTTAAATGTCATCTTCAGCAGCTTTATCATTTGCTTTTGTTGCAGGATGTTAATAATGCATTTATTACTACTAAGTGACTTGAGGAAGACTATAAAGATGCTGTTCTTTTCTAACCTTGTTAAACATTTCATCTTATTATAGAATTTTTAATGGAAGCAATTATTGTTTTGTTCTGAGTTGTTTTTCAGGAAAGTATCAGTAATGTCAAATGTCAAAGTGACATGATTTATCCCACTGTTATTAAAATAATAGTTTTAAAATCAATTTAAAGTTCAAAACAAGTTTCCTCCCAGAGTACAGCCTTTTTTCATGCATGTCAGAGAGATTTTCCTCTTAAACAAACATCTCAGTAAAGTTTTTGTCTACAGTTTTGTTATGAATGCCCTTTCCCATGTTGAGTGATAATGTTTTTCCTTGTGTCTGTGTATGATGATTATTTTTTTGACAAATTAGCAAAATATTGCATGAACCACTTGACAGATTTTATTGAAACTCTCAAATTATTGAATGTACCGAGCATCTACAACTGATTATTTTTTTGTAGTCACCCTTACTTAGGATGGCTGCTACAGCCAGGTCACCTTAGCAAACACACAAATGGCTCTAACTCAGACAGTTACAAAAAGAATAGATACAATTTGATGTGGTAGTTGCTGAGAGTCCTTCCCAAACAGTCAGCCTTGTCTGTCTGCAAAATTTCTCATGAACCCTTGGTTGATTTTTTAACAAAACCTTTAGAAAGCAATCATTAAATGACTATCTTATTAACCTCTAATTAACACCTCATTAACATTTGAAACCAACTTGATTCAGTTCAGTCAAATACAGATTTTGAGCAAAAAGATTAACGTAGTAGCTGAGAGTCATTCCCAATGCACACTTGCAGACCCAATGCAGACCAACACAGCTATAAAGTCCATAATTTCCGAACACAAAATGATCTTAGTTTAAAACTCAGACATATGTGCATTCTTTCAAGGATTATTTGCTTTTTTTTCTAACAACTCTAACTTTTTAAATCTATATCTACTAAAAAATCAGACTCAAAAACTGAAAGGAACGTCTCTCATCCACACATCTATTGACTGCTGTGAAAAAAGACCTCCATTTGTTTGACGCAACATTCAAAAACCATCTCACCGCCTATATTTTATAAATCTGTGATGTACTGATGTATCTAACAGAAAGCATCAGCCTCGTTTTTGCACATACTTAGTAAAAAAGCTGAATGTTTTATAACATTTCAATGAAACTAACTGGTTAAAACGTTGTCCCACCTGAGGAGAAAGATGCTGTTCTGCTCGAGTGGCTGAAGGCTGCTGGCATGGTCTGGTAGCCCAGACTGAGCTGAGATCCGCTGTCGAAGTCATATCCCGCCATCAGACCCCTCCCTCCCTCTCTGGGAGCTCTGTTCCGGTGGTACCAGCCTCTCAGGTGCTCCGCCACCAAGGCCTTCTGCATGTTTTTGGCTAAGAGCTCATTCCTGGGACCCTCTCTGTTCCTTGGTGGTCTCACTGTGGCATAAGGGTTCTGAGAAAGACTATCGGTTCCATTGCTGCTGTAATGCCTAAACCTGTCCTGTCCGTGATAGCCGTTCATTTGGTAGGATGGGTTGACGTTGTAGTGGCCTTCAACGTCATTCTCATATACATAGGCACCGTTAGCGTAAGGCTCCATGTCAGGGCATGGGTAACCTGCAACATAGTAGGCACTAGGTGCATAGTGGGGTGACGTCTCGCATGAATAGCTAGAACCGGAGTGGTGCTGAACCAGGTTGGGCATGCTTCCAGTGTTACCAAACACTTCCAGCTTCCTGCGAAGGCGGTGCGTGGTTGAGGTTCGGGAGTCCAGTGTGCTGTAGTGGGAGGGAGCTGCCCCGCAGCAGTCCAGACTGGACTGGCTGGTGTAGGACGAGCAATCTTCTAACACCTCTGTGCTGTTACTGCGATGAGACGGCGACAGGATGAAAACAGGCTTCTCGGAGTCCGTGTCCTTCCTTAAACGGGGCTGAGACTCCAGACTTCCGCTGCGGTGCCTGAAGCAATGAGGAGACCCCTCCAACCTGCAGGAAAGGATGCAGCTCTTATTCTGTTCCGTCAATAAACACAATCATTCACATGATAATGGTTTGGGGATTTAGTAGGAAAAACCAAAAAAAAATTGGAGTTTTATATGAAAGTGTTAGTAAAAAGTTGGGAGTTGTGTACAGCTGCTTGGCCCTGCTGGAGATGAAAGAAGCACACCTGAGCTGGCTGCTGCTGTAGGCGTTGCGGGTCATGACTGGGGTGGGAGGCATGCTGCGTGGATCTCTAGGAGGTCTAGGAAGGGTTTTACAAGGACTACTGTGGGTGGAGGAGACGTCTCTTGGATTCGGGCAGGTATGGGCCGCCTCCATGCTGTCAAAAACTTTTCTAAAAGGGTGCGGTGTGAGAAGATGGGGGGAAAAAAACAACAAAAAGCAGATGAAATGTGAGGCTGCAAACAGGAGCTCTGACAGTGCACGCTGTCTTTAGAATTATTCTTAGTTTGGGGCAGATTTTTGGGGCACCTGTTGTTTTTGTGGTGATTTCCTGCCGAGGATCCCTGTCTTTCCACATCATACTCTGCTCCTAGTGATCGCATCGGACTGAGCTGAGGCGAACCCTGGACTGAGCGTGACCGTGGCCTTTGACCTGCACTGTCTGAGTCTTCTGAACACACAAGAGAACAAACACACGAGTTAGTGTTTTCTATCACCAGGACCGATTATAAAGACTTAATCGTCTCAGCAAACTTTAAAAGCTCACCATCGTCTAGTGGGAGACTAGACAGAGACCCACAGTCTGACTTGATTAGTTCATCTGAAAACAGAGGAAACAACTTGGCAAATGCGACAGAATAAATAATGCAGTGATGAGCTCTGGATGAACCGGCACCATTACCTGCGATGATCACCGAGGCACGCTGTGTGGGCTTTTTCCCTTTTTTGATTCTGTACTGGTTCATTTCATCCTCTATCTGCTGGAGTTTGTGCATAGCATCCAGGCAGTTTCTCCTCCTCTTCTTCTTCACTGTTTTGCACAGTTCCGACTCATTTGCCAGCTTCTTCGCTGCCTCCACAATCTTTTGTTGGAGGGCGAACCTGCTCTCCAGGTTTCTCAGAAAGGGGTCCTGCAAACAGTGAAAAAGAGGCCCATCCACGTAAACATAGGAACTGGTAAATGGCTTGAATTTATATTGCACTGTTATGATTCTGTCTCTGTCTGTCTGCTCTTGACCCAGTTCTTGCTCCTGTCTGCCTCTGCCCCTCCCATCCT